GGATTGTTCAATTGTACTTGGAGTTCTTGCCGCGAGGGTTGTACAAGCGACGTTTACAGATGTACGCATATATACGTCACCTACACGCCATGGAGCAACGCGAGCATGAAAAACGACACCGGGGGTAGAGGCAACTCGACCGGCATCGCGCACACCTCGACCACTTCCGGTAAGAAAGTTTTCAACCTGCGGAGGCGTCGAGCTTATTTCTGTCTTCCCGGTGAGAACTGGTATCCATCTGTCTAGATGTTTATTCCGCCCTTTGGTTTTGCGTAGGTGGTAGGAATGAAGAGAAATGATCGAAAGTGTAGAATAGTGTTTTGGGTGTATATGTTGAGGAATATCGTCGTTTAGTTAATTGTGTGCGGATATTTGTGGATATATCTTCTGTGATTTATTTTCCAATGAAATGAAATTAATAATTCATCAACGATGGAATCTTGATATTTTGAAATTTATTGCATAGTTTAACTTCGATAGAATTGAAGAAATGTAAGGCGAATGGTTTTTTTTATTAAGATATTACGATAATAGGAAAACTTTGAAGTTACCATACTGTTGCGACTTTTAAATTTTATTAAATTTTTCTCCCATATTCGAGAAAATATCTCGAAATGTTACTGCCTTCGTGTAAAAACTTTTCTTATATCTATCTTCTTAGTTTAAAAAGATAGGGATGAAATATATCGAAATCTACCAAGTTCAAAGGATTTGTGAATTTCTGAAAGAAGGATAACTCGTGTCGTATATAAATATATTCAATATACATTTCACTTTCTTAATTATTCTTCTTCTTTTCTCGAACTTTTCATCTGGGTTTACGTTCAACAAGAATCCTATTTTCATCACTATTAAATAGTTATTTTCCTCCATCAAAAATGTACGTTGTAAGAATTCAATATACGAACCGATATATTCGTGATCGGTGTTTATCTTCAATTTTGCAATTCTTGCCTCCTTAATCGTACGACGTTCAGAAGATCAATATTATATCGATATTGTTCCATCATCATCTCACGAGAAAATTATCGTTCGTTGGAAACTCTTCTAAATAAAATAAATACTTTTTGTACAGTGCCGACTCCCGGCGATGTGGAGGCGGTGCTCCTGGTGAACATCAAAGGGTGCGGCTATCCGCCGATCGTCGACTGCGAGAACTTCACCCGCGAAATGGGCTACGAAGGCGCGAAATTCCCCTGCCATTACAGCCGTGTGAACGGCAGCATAGTGATGGCGAACTATAACCGCGAGGCGCAGGTCACCACCATCATACACTTCTTCGCGGCGCCTTTCGTAGTGACTCTCGCGACCAGCGTCGCTCTGTGTGTGATGCACTGTGACTGCAGGTGCAGCCCACCCCCACGCCATTCATCGCGAGGAATCAGAAGAGGCAGGGGCAACGATCTCAGGTAACGTGGCCTTTAATCATCGATGAATCATTGGTGTCCCCTGTTTCCGGATTAACTTCCGGATGGACGATTCATTGGAAAGTGGTAGGATCAGATTAATTAAATTCCTATCGATCTACGATTCTCGAGAGAATCGTCAAGCATTTTCTAAAGTACTTGTTATTTCAAATAATTTTTGTGGAAAATTTTATAACGTTTTATAAGGTTTTTGATACTTATTTATTCGAGTGTTCTCATTAAACTTTGACGTGGATAAATGCTAAGAGTTTCTCGCGATTTTTTAATGATAGATTAGGTGATTCAATGAATTTATCTTTTATAGGGTAAAATGTTATTAAAAATATAAATTTATTGAATTGTATAGTATTACAAGTGTTAAATTTCAATTTCGTATCGTTTGTATTGAGTCTTATAATCGGGATAGGCAAAGAATTTTTTATACTAAGTTATTTCTCATAAATGTTTTCACTTAAAATTGTTATTATAAAAAGATCATCTCTTTAAATTTCATTAAAATTCCTTTATGAACAGGGAAATCATAAATTCATATACATATATAAAGTCTGGCCATCTGTACATTTTTGAACTGATCTTTTTTAAAATGTAAAGAGGATTGCAAGTTATTTGATTACGATAAAAAAGGGCGACTCGAAAAAGATTAGGAAACACTGAACTAGACTTTAAGAGGATTTCGATGGGTGGGCACTAGAATGTTGTTGGTTGATCGGTGACCATTTTATTATTCATTGAGGCGCTATTTGAAAAAACACGTTTCCGCCATTGAATTAACAATGATCAATAAAGATACGGAATATTTTCTTTTTCGATGAATGTTTCGTGCTTCGAAGGAAGATTTTCAGGTTTGATTTATCGTAAAATCGAATTTTTGAAATAGGAAAGAAATTGGATACGAATATAGGTATGATTGTTTGAGGAGAAAATAGGGATTGTCGAGTATGTATATCGGTTTGGAACAGGTTCTGTTTTCAAGGAAAGTTAGTTTGAGAATTGTGTTTGAGATATAAATTTAAATTCAGATGGTTGTGCGATGTATGAAGTAGTTTATTAATGTAGGTACTTAAACAAATCTGATTGGGATAAATATAATTGTTCAAATATCATTAACTTATTTCTATTTTATTTATGCATAAATAAAGGGAATGATTACATGCAAAACGAAATAAAAGTAATGAAGATGCAATTTTTTTAATTGTCACAGTTTATAAAATAGATCACCTGTTACAAAATGAGAAGTAGAAAATGCGATATATTTATTTTATTTATTTTTTACATAATATCGTCTAATTTATAACATTTCACAAAAACGCGATAGAAATACATTTGATTAAATCCTTCAATTGGTAAACATCAGATGAGAAACTATCAAATTGTCTCGCCCAGTTAAACTTGGAAGAGAAAAAAAAAAAGAATTATAAAAGGCATCGATTGGATTGCCGTTAGTTGATTGAGCATTCGATCTGAAGTTTCGTCGTTGTAGTGGTAGCCTTACCGTGTCGAGAGATCGTGATCGTACTCACAATAAAGCAAAATACAGTAAAAGAAGTAATAGAAATGAGATTTTTCATTAAATGGAAATTGCTCGAGTAATTTTAAAATAATTGTCTTTTGGCCATAAACTGTCGATTACTTTTTAAAATTTAAATCTCGATCGAAGGAATAGTATTAAAATTAGTGGTATTTACATTGTTAAGTAAAATAATTAGGAAAAATTCGAAAAAAAACATGGATTTAAATTTCAGAAATACTTTGTTTTGTTTAAAAAAAGATAGATGCACTCTCTGTTCGCGAGAATAGTTACATATTTAATAACAAAGATACGAGTCTGCCTTTCATTTTATCGCCATTCCACACGCGCGCACGCGTTATTATACGGGATTGTGAAAAAAAAAGAGCACTCAGGGCCCCGCTTTAAAACTCGAGCCTACTCCATTACAGGCCACTGCGTCACTGAGGCCACTTCTCGTATCTTTTCGACTCATCTTTTTTGATAGATACCAAAAATTATTCATCGTATGCAATCAACACATTTTTGTAAATAAGCGAGAAATAACATTTATTGCAATATCATATAGTTAAAGATAAATGTGATTGCTAAATCTTGAAAGTTTAAATAGAAAAAATAAATTTCTTATTTTTTTTTTATAATAGAAAGACTTGCGATCAATGATACAATTTATAGAATTAAAGATAGATGCAATTATTGATTTTGAAAATTTTAATTTTTGATTTTCACAACTTTTATATTCCAAAGTTTAACTATAGTATATATATCTACCATATATATATATATATAATTATAGGAGGAACAATATCCATTACACAGAACAAATGAAATCGTAAAGTTCTAAGATCTTAAATTAAAAAAAAAAAAACTTTGGCATAACTTTTGATTTAAATTCGAATAATACAAAGGCAATGAGATAAATATACAAATACTCATAAAAGATCCGCAAGAGTTACACTATTCTGGCTTGATGGCGTTGCGACTAGAAAGAGGTCGGTGGATTTCTGGCCGAAAGTCGAGACATGCCCATTTTAAAACGTCGGCGATCGTTTGTCGAGCATCCTCCAAGCTCATCACGGCCTGTGGCTTGTTATTTTTTTTGTCGTGCCACGTTTGTCATCTTTATAACCGTTGTTGGCACTGTATCACTGGCTAGTATTAAGAGGCTGTGGATATTCGCGTAGAAAGAATGGTCAGGACGAGCATCACTAACTTGAACTTATGAGATATGTCAGGCTTGGATTAATCGACCAGACCGTATTCTTCTCGTCAGTATTCTTCTATCTCTTCCGTTTTTCGTGTCTGCTATATCCTTTGGCTTATGAACTCATCGCTGGATTACGTTCCATGAATAAATTTTTTATTTTTTCAATAGATTGCTATTATTTATTTCTTAATTTTTGTACAACGTGTATAGGTAACTGTAGTAATTTTCTTAAAATGAAAGAACATAAGTTAATGAATTAATTCCTTCGTATCTAATTGTTGGATGAAAAAATTTGTTATCTCACGAATATAGTATTTTTTTGAGATGTCTGAAAAATAAATATGGAAAATTTGAAATATGGAAAAATATTTCAGACGAAAGATTTAAAATTATTATTATATATTACGTTAACTTTTAATTTGCTATTATTCTTCAAGACATAACCAATTATCAACTTGTTCATCATTTGAAATTTATTCACAAAATGAATCCAAAAGAATCCAAGAGTATTCATTCTAAAAGAACAATATTCTGCAGTTTTCCTAACTCTCATTTCATCCTTCCACTACCACTATTGCAATATATTTTCTACTGTTTCACGAATCGCTAGTTGGATTCAAAGTTGTAGCAGAAAGCTCGTCGTGAGTAGAAGTTTTATTGGTTGAAACCAGTGTTTCGTTCGACTATTTCACGATATTTTGCTGGTCCAAGTAATCAAGGTCTTGCGAGGCGATTTCAAACTACTCGTAGAACGTTTAGAAACACGAGAAACATCGTGGATAGAAAAGAGGCGTAAAACGTCCTCGAACTTTTAATTGGAATGGCGTTCCAAAAAGGTCGCGAATCGTTCCCTCGACACCTGAGAGGAGAAAGAACTCGGGAATTCGACCGACTGGATACTATATATTCGACATTGTCATCCACAAAAATGCGGCCATGGACAGGGAAGTTTAGAGTATGTCGGATTCCCTCGAACGTGCGAGAACAACGTGCCTTTGCATCGTTTTAGATAGTTTCGTTCGTGATGTTGGAATTTTTTTAAATTGATTTTTCGTTACTTGATTATATCATTATTAAAATATTTCTTTTTTAATGAAAAATTTGAGAATTTTGATTTTGAATTTTTTTTAGGAATTTTTTGGAATTGATTTGAAGTAGTTGTGTCATTAAAATTTTTTTTTTTAGTGAAAATCAGAATATTAAATTTAAAGTCTTTTTAAGAATTTTTTTGAAATTCTTTGAAAATAATTTGTTAAAAATTAAAAAGTTGTCTATTTTCTTTTTAATGAAAATTGAAAATAAAATTTTTTGATATTATAAAATGCAATGAAACGTACATTTCTCTATGATAATGTTAAAATGTGTCAAGATTGAAATATAATGAAAAATAAAATGATGTGATTATCAATTGTTTTGATAATTTATCAAATAAATTTGTTCATTTTCGTGAACTATGAAGCTTAATTACATAAAAGTCGCAATAAAAATATAATAATTTTGATATAAAGAAAATACAAACGAGCAGACAGTTGAAAAGTTTGCAAGTTTGACTTTATAACTGGATCCATCTTCTTTGCTCTACTCTCTACTGTTCTTCTTTGTTTTTGATTAATATTATCTCAGCAATAAACAACTTACTTTCAGATTGTTCCACTATGAAGAATATAATTGAGCATCCTGTATACTGTAGTTTAAAATATGAAAATATTATTTTATAGTATAATATAGTATAGTAGTTGCTGAAAATAAACTTTTGTAAGAATAATATATTGTTAATTTTATTATTGCAATATATTATATAATGTTTTTATAACTGTACATTATATTTCATATCTTGACAATATTTACATATAGTTTTACATAGTTTTAAATATTTAATTTTCCAATTAGTTTTAGATTTCATTTTGTATTTAATTACTTTCTTCATTTTTCATTCTCTGATGTTACTTGAATTATCGGTTTATTATTATTTGAGAATATTAACTAAAATTTATATTCTCAATCAATATTTCATAATTTCAGTAATTCTTCAATAAATCTCACTTTTTAGAATTATTTATCTAAATAATATTTCAAATTCATAATATCAAAACATAAGATTTGTTTTTATCTATTCCTAATTATCTATAATTTTTCAAATATAACTCAAGGTCGCTAAAATTCCTCAACATTTCTCAATCCCAACAATATTGTCTCAAAAAACTCGAGTATTCCAATTTCTAAAGAGGATACTTCTTTTCCTTGGGGCCAAAGGAAAAAGGACATCGA